AAAATACATTTTAAAGGCTGTTTTGAAATGAGCAAAGTTGGGTTTTGAGTTAGGCTACTCCACTTAGTTTGATGAATATGAAATTTTCCTAATAATAGAAAAAATCGATAACATACATTTTTCTTATAGGAAAGTCAAAATCATTTGTATGAAGATGACAAATTTAAGACAAGGTTGCAATTCATTTTAAAACCTAGAAATTGAGACATCTCATTCCAAAAGATTGAAAAATAGGGACATTCAAACAATAAGTGCACAATAGACTCTCTTTCACAATTACAAAATCAGCAATGTTTTATTTCAGACTGTAACGAGTGTAAATAAGGTGTGGCCCCTTTAAGAGCTGCGCGCTGAACTGTCTGCAGTGTGTGCGCCTCAAACACCCCATGTCGTGTGCGGGTAATTTCTGTTTGATGCTTATTTTATCTTATTTTGTTTATTAAGTAACGATGTGATGGTAGAACGTGTGACAGACAGTTATACGAGTTCGATTTGTGAGATGTCAATCGCCTCCGTGAGTCTTTCTGGCCTCTGCAATAACTTCAGCTGTGAGCTATCCCGTCGCGTAATTGCGTCACTTCATAACGTTCCCATGAAAACCGGAGGAAATGGCTGCTCTTGTATGAAGCAAACGCAACATTTTTCAACTTTCTGCGAAGATATATGTGACTTTTTTTTGCAACGAAAATACGAGGATTATGAAATCATGCAAGCCCCGCATATTTTGCGTGGAAATCGGCATTTTATGCGGCGAAAGTGCGGCTTATTCGAAAAAATGCGGCCCCCGCATAAATATGCGGACTTTGGCTGATTTTGCATTGAATTCAGCGATCGCATAATCGCGTTTTTCTGGAGGGACTGATATATATATATATATATATACTTAAAAAAGCAGGGGTTAAGTTTTTGCACATCGTGCAGAAAAACCCTAAAGGCGATGCCACCGGCTTTTATATATATATATATAAATATATATATATATAAATATATATATATAAATATATATATAAATATATATATATATATATATATATATATATATATATATATATATATATATATAAATATAGCTGCTAGCAGCGATGAAGGGCCAAAGCCACCGGCTTGGGCCCGCAATCGCTGCTCGCAGCTATATTTTTTATTGTTGTTTAAAAAGTTCAGACCAGGTTTTTGTTGGTCAGTGGTGCAGTTTATTTCAGTTGCCTCAAAATAGCAACGCACCAAACAATGCGCCCGCACTCTCCTCTAGGGCTGAAACGTTTAGTCGACAATAAGAAATTGTCGACAAATATCTTTGTTGTCAAGTAGTCGTTTGATCTCACGTGACCTAATGTAAGGGCGTGCAACATCACGATTTGACCGCTACGGCGCTGTAGCGCTAGAGTGTAATGCAGCCCTTTACAAATGCTATTGCGGTATAAGAAAAAACAGCGCAAATTCTGAAGGAGTGCAAACGAATTCGATGCAGCAAGGTTTGGGAAAGTTTCACAAAACTTCAAACCAAGAATGCTGTCGTGTGCAATACATGCAAGGCGGAATTTGCTTTTCACGGGAACACAACATGCATGTTGGAGCACTTAAAGAGGACTGAGTGTTCTCCAGCTGGAGCTACAGTAACTAACTAGTGGTAAATTTCTTTATTAGAGAATGCAATACTACTAATAATAGTAATAATATTATCAATAATAATATAATTACAGTTATCTAATTTATAGTGGTGCAACGGATCATCACTGATCCGTGATTCGTTCGGATAAATGTCTTCGGTTCGGCACACACGTGATCCGCGGATTGATTATGAAAAAAAAATCAAATAAAACGTGCACATGTTGTTCAGTCAACGCACAGCTTCGTCATAGCGAGCGGAGGAACGGAGAAGCTTGAACGCCCCGCGTCATTTCAGGGCTCCAGACCAGACTGCGACCAAAATTTGAGAGTGTGCGACTGAATTTTACATCCAGTCGCACATGTGCGACCAGTAAATTTGCCACACGTTAAACGCATGGTAAAGCGGCGCGTCAATGAATCCGTGACAAGAATAGAGCGCGTAAACGTCTGTGGGAGGGAGACGGAGACAAATATCACAACCTGATGTGCGTCTGAGCAATCAGCGATCTATCGACTCGTTAGTCGTTACCTAGCAGCGAATGCAAACAAAATGAAAGTGGAACGAAAATACGCAACTCATTTATGATTAGGACCGTGGAGCAGCAGCAGCGATCCATTGACAAAATAAAGCCCCGAACTTGCCAGTCGCGGGCCTATCTCGCTCACGCAACACTGTTACTAGGAGATCCAGTGAAGAAATCCATTGAATTCGCCTCAGAATTAATAACATCGACGAGATCCAGTGAGAAACACTCCGATTCGGCGCAGGTTTCTGTTATAAACCATATCAGATCAAACAGCGCTGACGTGGAAACCAGGAGAAACACTTATAGAAGGCTTTCAGTCCACAAATCAGCCTACAGTATATATGATAATGTGTAAGAAATAGTCAAATGCTTACAAGTAGCCTACTACACATCTTTTCCCAGCACTTCAATAATATCATACATAAATGTTTTTTTTTTTAATTTTTTATGTGATTACCAACACATTTTTTGTTTATCCTTTAAAGATTGTCCTAAAATGAAAAAAGTACGATGATATTTTCACTACTTTTATTAATTGATATTAAGACATTATTTAGTTCTCATTTGAGGTGATGCTGCCCTCAACAAAGTCTGGGACCCTGTGAAGTTAAAATAAAACAGAATATCATAATGTTAAGTCTATTTATTATTAAAGAATTTGTCAGTAGGCTATTACAGTTATTTTGGGGGAAATTTGAATAATTGCATTGCAAGCTGATTTAAGGTGTGCCCCTAAATTTTCTGCTTGCACTCCTAAAATTTTCAGTCAGGGGCAACAGCGCTCCTAGTAAAGTTAGTCTGGAGCCCTGCATTTAAATCACCTGTATGGGACCATTTTGGATTTTCCATCAAATATAACATGAAGGAAAGAGGTTAGTAGATAAAACCGAGACATACCACTGCGGCATTTAAGCAGCCCCTAGTTGCATAATCAGACCGGGCTAAAGCCATCACAAATGCTATCGGTGTGTTTATAGCTGCAGACATGAGGCCACATTCGGTTGTGCAAAACGAGGGCTTTAAACACATACTGAAAGTACTTGAGCCACGTTACGACATGAACTGTTGTGGATGAACTATCCCGAGCATCTGTTGCGCTCACGACAGACAGGTGGACTTCTAGGGGAACGGAGCTATGTGACGATAACCGTTATCGTCACATAGCTCTCACCGCTCACAATTTAAAAGTGTTAATAATCAAAAAGACAAAACCTATGTTTATTTGTCTTGTCTTTTATTTTTTTATTTTTTTTGCTGATCCGAAAAATGATCCGATCCGTGACCCTGATCCGAGAAACGATCCGATCCGTGAGTTTTTTTGATCCGTTGCACCCCTACTCATTTATTTTTCACAGAATAAAGCTTGATTGAGCTTAGGAGTCAGGGCTGTTTTTATTATTTTAACACTATTAGGTATTATCACTTGCCTGTATTTTGTTCCATAATCATGAAGACTTACAAAAGGAGATGTTAGGAAGAATATTATGGCAGTTACTTTTTCATACTGCAAATTAAAAGGTGAATAAGAACGTATCTGTCAGCACAATTTCCATCTAAAAAAAAGATTGTAATACTTATAATAATGGTTTGCAGATTCATATTTTACCATTTTTGTGTCCTGAAGTGAATGTCCTTTTTTCTGTTTCAGTTCTAAGAAAAGCAGTGGTCCTATTAAACAATGCTTAGACAGCTTTTGTGTGATTTGAGTTGGACCGAAATCTGAAAACTTAAAGAAAATGACCTGTTTAGTTGGCTCAAAGTTAATTAAAACAACTATTTCAAAAGTCAAGTCACATTTATTTATATAGCGCTTTTCACAATACAGATTGTATCAAAGCAGCTTCACAGTGATAACATAAAAGTAGTACAACACAGATCAATAATATTGTTAAATATTAAATACTAAATAACCCCGACTAAGCAAGCCAAAAGCTGAACTGATTTTCTTTTTTTTATCAATTTTATTTGGTAAAATGGAATATTCTGACTGAGTTTTATTAAAATTAACCATCATGCATGATACTGGTCATCCAGTATCATGCATTTAGATCATGATAACCACAGTTAAAACCACCTCAGTATCATGGCAAAATGTAACTTTATGGATTTTGGTATTTGTATGAAAAACAGTAGCCTAAAAACATTATTAAATACTGTAATTATATTCCATTAGTCATTTAATACATTGTCTACATTAATAATATAATACAATTCAATCCCACATTTCATGGTGCAGTTAATATTACTAGGCTAACTTCACAGTAAATCCATGGTAAATGATGGGCATTTGTAGACTGAAATCATTCTGACTGTATCGTTGCGCACATTGTTTCTCCCTATTTGTCAGCTCTGTTTCATTTGCCTTTAAACTGGTTTAAACTGGACATTTGTGTTCTTTGCTGAATTCAAGCTCTTCTCACTGGATCTCGTGAGCAAGACGATCAGAGTAAATACGTCTGCTGAGTTTGAGCATAGATGGAGATGTCTATGAGCTCGCGCTGCACTGCCATTTGGACTTTGAGCCGAGCGGATAAATGGTCTGTGTGGCGCGCGGAAACTTCAAATGAGTTTCGTTCCACTTTTATCCCGAATAAACATTAGCGAACATTTATCAAACTCTTGATATCGTTTTATCGAGTAAAAATTATATCGTGATAATTATTGTTATCGTTTTATCGCCCAGACCTACTTAAAACTGACTTATACATTTTAGAATGAATGGTCTTGACCAGGAATTGTGCATAGCATAGGCTAAGGATACAGAGAAATAGGTAAAGCTTTAAGCATCACACAGTTGAACAATATGCCTATTATGTCTCTTTTCATTCTTATTTCTTTTCTTTTTATACTATGACTCATTTCCAGAGTCTTGCTGAGCTGTCATCACTGCAGGGTCTAGAGGAAGATCACACCTTTCAGAAAGAAGTGGCACTCAAAACTCTGGTCTACAAGGCTTACAGGTGAGTTTATTGCCATCTCTATTGATTTAAATCTACTGTTTAAATCTAATCAGTTTCCACCTTTTATTAAATGAGTTTTTGTCTTCCAATCACAAGAGGTCTGTTCTAATTTCAGGTGCAAACAGGGTTTAGAATGTTTTAAAAACATCTTAATTCCAGAAACCAGGCTCATGTGTGCTTGCATACATGTTGTGTCATTTGATTTTTTTTTTCTCTGTTCGAAGTTTTGAAATGTTTGTCGTTGCTCTCTGGACAGGTGTTTCTATATAGCTCAGTCCTATGTTCTGGTGAAGAAATGGAGTGAAGCTCTGGTTCTGTATGAAAGGGTTCTGAAGTATACCAGAGAGGTCCAGTCCAAAGCCAAGAGCCTCAATAACAGCCTTAAGGTACCAAACACCTCACATTACTTCCCTTACAAAATTGGACTCAGCTTTTGTGTTAAGACCTAGAACGTAGAAATAGCATATAATGTTTCCAATGCAGATATTCTGCTGTCCGCAGGGGGGTGCTTCAGTTCTTGTGACCTTGATTATGGACAGTTCAAATCAGAACGTTTAGTGCTAGAATTAAAATAAATGTTTTACAGTTTTTCACTGTTTTAACCCTCTGGGGACCAAAAACGCGCCCCCCGCATTTTGATAGTTTTTTTTTCTCACATAGCTGCAACATAGACTTAAAATACATTAATGGTCATATAAATAAAATCAATACATAATTATAATCTATAGAGGGTCTTCTTTTTTGTCTACACTCTTGTGTAAAAAAAAAACTTAAAAATAAATCAAATAAACAGGGTGCGCTTTCAGCTCACTCAAGAATCTTTCTGAAAAGCGTCCGAAAAATGAACTGTAACTCAGTAAATACTTGTCACAGAGACACGAAAGATTTCTCTTTATAAAGCTGAAATTCTCTTCTTTTAAATGAATGTATATAATAATAATATTGATGAAGTATTATATAAAAACAACTACTCTCAGTTGATGTAATCTGTATGAAAAGAGAGAGATGTCAGTCTGAGATGATTCCAGCTTTATGACATGGCGCATTATCCTGCTGAAAGTAGCCATCAGAAGTTGGGTACATTGTGGTCATAAAGGGATGGACATGGTCAGCAACAATACTCAGGTAGGCTGTGGCGTTGCAACGATGCTCAATTAGTACCAAGGGGCCCAAAGAGTGCCAAGAAAATATTCCCCACACCATGACACCACCACCACCAGCCTGAACCGTTGATACAAGGCAGGATGGATCCATGCTTTAATGTTGCAGACGCCAAATTCTGACCCTACCATCCGAATCTCGCAGCAGAAATCGAGACTCATCAGACCAGGCAACGTTTTTCCAATCTTCTATTGTCCAATTTCGATGAGCTTGTGCAAATTGTAGCCTCAGTTTCCTGTTCTTAGCTGAAAGGAGTGGCACCCGGTGTGGTCTTCTGCTGCTGTAGCCCATCTGCCTCAAAGTTCGACGTACTGTGCGTTCAGAGATGCTCTTCTGCCCACCTTGGTTGTAACGGGTGGTTATTTGAGTCACTGTTGCCCTTCTATCAGCTCGAACCAGTCTGGCCATTCTCCTCTGACCTCTGGCATCAACAAGGCATTTCCGCCCACAGAACTGCCGCTCACTGGATGTTTTTTCTTTTTCGGACCATTCTCTGTAAACCCTAGAGATGGTTGTGCGTGAAAATCCCAGTAGATTAGCAGTTTCTGAAATACTCAGACCAGCCCTTCTGGCACCAACAATCATGCCACGTTCAAAGTCACTCAAATCACCTTTCTTCCCCATACTGATGCTCGGTTTGAACTGCAGGAGATTGTCTTGACCATGTCTACATGCCTAAATGCACTGAGTTGCCGCCATGTGATTGGCTGCTTAGAAATTAAGTGTTAACGAGCAGTTGGACAGGTGTACCTAATAAAGTGGCCGGTGAGTGTATGTGTGTGTATATATAATAGAAATACAAGAAATACTTTATATCAAAAAGCTGCGTTCCTCACGAGACCACAGTGCGTGAGTTGAGTGAGCGACGTTCAGGAAGAGGTGACTGACACAGGTTGCTCCACACAGCAACAGAGAGGGCTCGGCTTAGCGAAAAAACACTTTACTGCATCACTGTTTTTGTTGAATAGATGTTTGTACCTTAACTAGGTTCCGGAGGCAGTTTATAACTTTCGGGAAGCGGAGTTTGATAGGGAGTATATTCCATTATTGATGTCTGCAGACGGGTGCTCTCATGTTCGCTCTGTTTACGTAGCTCTGTTAGCTCGGTAACGGTAATTATTTGTTTATTTTATTTCTTGGTTGAATTCTAATGTAGAATGCGGTCTGTTATTATAACAGACCACCACTTATAAGTATAACACACCGTTGCCATGAAAAACAGAGCTTTGCCATGGATTCTAAACGTAGAGACAGAACGGACTATTTTTCTTTTTTAGCGGAAGCGATACAATCATTTTTTAAATCAATAACCTCCTTTTTATATCCATATTTTTAGTCAAATTATTGATTTATTTGGTAGGTAGCCATGTAATAAGTGGGGTAATGTAGAGCAAGGCGATTGTTATAGCGAATACAAACCCTTCGGGGTTCGCGTCGGGCTCATAATCAACCTCCTCGCTATACATTATCCCTAACTTATTATTTCTGTCTGTTCAGCGTCCTCCACCGTGGTGTTGGGGTTCATAATGTTCACAATTGTATTTTATTAGTTGTTGGTTTTTATTAGTTGAACCATGGTTTAGGCTTGCCGCGATAGACGGTGTTGACGGTGTTACCGGTTTTAAGCCCCATCACCGGTGACATCACTTTCCCACCGTGACACCGCGATGTCTTGACTTTTTTTTTTAAATTATTCGTTTTAGCTAAAATATTTATTTGAATTAATTAAAAATAATAATTTTCAATTATTTAGTTCTGAAGAGAGCATTATAATTAAAAATGAACTGCGCAACGCGTGCCGTCACGTCACAGATCAGCAAGCATCAGGATTCCATTTAGCACGTGTGGAGACGAGAACGAGTCAAATTACAGAAAAGCAAGATTATGGCGGAAGATTTGGTGTCAAAACGCAATGCAAAAGCGCCTGTTTGGCAATATTTTGGCCAATATATATTAATGTTAATAAATGCCAATTTATAGTGTTTTACTTTTTTTTTTAGAGTGCTGTCATTCATGTAGGCTAAGGTCCTTTTTAAAGTTTTTATTTTATATTCGTCTCTTTTTATTTGGTTTTATCTTATTTAAACTTTGTTTAATTTATTTAGGCCTATTTTGTTTTCTTATTCGTTAATAAACGTTTTATTTTTTTTGGGCCCACAGTTTGCCGATTTTCACTTTTTTCAGCCTATGCATGGGGTTATTTTTATTCGTTTGTTATGCTAATAAAAGTTCTGTCTATATTTTATTCGTTTATTATTCTAATAAAAGTGCTGTCTAAATAAAAGTTTATTGTCAGCGAGTTGTTTTTTTTTTTTTTTTTTTTGTCCTTTCCAGCAATTGACGCTGAATTGCAATTGACGCTTATTTCGAAAGTGAAAGTATGTCATTTATGTAGGCTAAGGTCCGTTTTGAAGTTTTTATTTTATATTCGTCTCTTTTTAATTGGTTTTATCTCATTTAAACTTTGTGTAATTTATTTAGGCCTATTTTATTTTCTTATTCGTTAATAAACGTTTTATGGTTCTTATTTGTTTGGGCCCACATTTTGCCGATTTTCACTTTTTTCAGCCTATGCATGGGGTTATTTTTATTCGTTCGTTATGCTAATAAAAGTCTATAAATAAAAGTTTTATTATCAGCGAGTTGTTTTTTTTTTGTCCATTCAAGCAATTGACGCTTATTTCGAAAGTGAAAGTATAACGCGCACGCATTTAAAAGCTATTTAACCCCCCCGCCCTGCCCTCCACGGTGACACCGGGATTACCGGTGTTGTCACACGTCGATTAACCGGTGGGAAATTTTCCTCACCGCGGCAACCCTACCATGGTTCATGAGGTAATGGCTGACTGTTATTTTCTTTTCAATGACTTCTTGTTACATGTTCATTGCTGGATTTATAGAAAAACATCAACCAATATTGCATATCCATAATTATTATAATGGATATAATTAAAGAATCCATACACTATAAAGTAAGTTAAAGATTTTTATGCCTATTTTGAATTTTACTCGAATACAAATACTTTCCCCCCCCGAACAGATACAAATATCGGCTGCTTTGCACACCCCTTATATATATATATATATATGTGTGTGTGTGTGTGTGTGTATATGTATATATGTAGAGTATCTGTGTATGTATATGTGTGTATATATATATATATATATGTGTATGTATGTGTGTATATATATATATATATATATATATATGTGTGTGTGTGTGTGTGTGTGTATATGTGTGTATATGTATATATATGTATATGTATGTATGTATATGTGTGTGTGCGTGTGTATGTGTATATATATATATATATTAGGGGTGGGCCGTTATCGGCGTTAACGCGCTGCGTTAACGCGAGACTCTTGTCGGGCGATAAAAAAAATATCGCCTTTAATCGATTCTCACAGTTGAGATGGTAGCTGAATACCACGCAAGCTATGATGACTTTCACTTTGATATTTTAGCGCAGATGTAGTCGATTTTGCACCGTAAGGGCCATTTAAAACCAATATATTGAAACGTCTGTTTATCCAGACATTAGGAAAATATCAGAGATGCATTTTAAATTTAATATGAGGGAAATACACATCCGTAAAAGGGGTCGCACTCGCACACCGAACGAGAAGCGCAGCGCTGCGCCACGTCTAGGGGGCTGTTTACACCTGGCCACTTCATGCATTTTCTCAGATCGGATAGCTCTGATTTATCAAAACGATTCAATTTAGGCTACACCTGGTCATATACATGTAAATCCGATCTTCAATTCCCCCACGCTATATGCGGATTTAATGAAGTGCACGTCATATCACTGAAAACAACAGACCCAGATAGCACAAGGCTGTCTGATCTCCTATTTACATCTGGAAGACGTATTTTAAAGAGTGTTTGCTCATCTGCAAGACGTCTATAGGACGTTTCCTGCAGATGTCAAATAGATGTTTAGAAGATGTCTCTAAGATGTAATGATTTAGAATGCACGTTAAACTGACATCTTATAAACGTCTATTAGACATCTGCAGGAAACGTCCTATAGACGTCTTGCAGATGAGCAAACACTCTTTAAAATACGTCTTCCAGATGTAAATAGGAGATCAGACAGCCTTGTGCTATCTGGGGATGAGCTGCATTTTGATCATCGGCTAATTTCAAAATCAGCAAAGACAGCAATAAGAGAGAGTGGCAACCTGGTAAGATCATTTAGTTTCTTTACTTTTAATGAAGATG